CTCTCCCCTCCTCCTCAGACCCCTCCTTGAACAGCCTGTTCCTCCGACCGTTATTTTTAATGCATTTATCCTGCCGCTTAATTTATCCCGCATTGTGATCAGATTTAGCTGAGAGCGCTCCGCAGCCGGGCCTGCCTGCATATTCATGAGCCGGTTCATTCATGCCACCCCCAGAATACCGGGCAATAGTGGGCAGCAGCCTCATCCCCGAGTCCCACCTGCCGAAAGGGCAACAGGGGGTCAGAGGTCAAGGGCCCAGGCTGCAGCCAGAGATTGGCGTAGGACAGAGCACCTGTGGGTAGCGGGTGTGGGGGGGTGTCCCTAGGTGGAGGCTCTGGAGCCAAACTGTGCTAAAATCTTTCTCTGCCATTGCTGATAAAATCAGTTCACCTCTCAGTTTGCTCATCTGCAAAAGGGGACAATAATATCCCCTGCCTGGGTCACTGGAAAGTCAAGTGAGAGAATACACATGAATGATCACAGTGGGTATTCAGGGTGGTCCCTGTCGTCATTGTCGTTCCTGCTGAGCAGTGGCTCATCATGGCTCTGGTTCCTGGAGAAACAAGGCAGCAGGCTGGTGCACAGGTCTGCTCTGGCGACGACGCTGTGGGCTGTTTCTGTCCAGCCTATGCTGCCTGCTGAGACGGGTTCCCCTCAAGTGAGGGTCAGGAGGGCAGTTCCCAAAAGGCAGGAGGGGCCGGAGGATGCAGTCTGGTATCTCAGGACGGACCCCTAGGATCGTCCAGGGTATGCAGCCCAGACCAGGACCAGCGGGGAGGCTGGGGCTCTGGAAGGAGGCAGGGGTCTAGACTCCAGTTTCTTCTAGCCCTCGGGAAACTAGGTCAATTACTCCATTCAATTATTCATTCTGTTATTTTACTGATCCAAACCCATGCTGTTCACTGGGGACATCGCCCTGTCCTCAAGGGGACTACATCCCATCAGAGAGGTGAACCCAGGCTACAGATTGGTCAGGGCCTTCAGATGAGCCAGATCAATTGCCTGGGGGTTCAGAGGGGAGGAAATCATCCCAACTGGGCATCAGGGAAGGTTTCCTGTAGGAGGCGGCATTTAGGCCAAATCTTGAAAATGTGGCTGTTACAAGATTGGACAGAGTAAGATGGACATTTGGGGTCTAAGGAACAGCAAAGACAAAGGCTGGTGATAGGAATGCAGCTTGGGAGGGGTCAGCCAGATGGAGGCTAGGAAATCCCTGAGCTCCACGTGAGGGGTCCCAGCTGACTTTAGCCATCCCCTGAGGTGGGAGCCAGAGGGGCCTTACCTTTGTCCCTCACAGTCACATGTGCATGCAGGGGTCACATTCAAGTTTGTTGGCAAAAACAGAAGAGCTCCTGCCTGGGTCTCCTGATTAATCTGTAATTAAATCAGCACAGAGCCATGTTGTCATTAGAGAGCTGGTGAGGGCAGACTGGGATTTCCCTGGGAACTGAGAAGCCTGCCGGGTGGCTGCAGCCCACACCATGCATGGGCGGCCTTCAGGGACGAGCGGCCGGGGCCTCAGCCAGGAGTGAGAGAAACAGCAGATCACTGTTGGCCATGTACAGTGTTACCATCACTGTCTTGGTTAATCCTCATAACATACCCTGGGTGGAGCCAGGCAGAGCATTATTACTTACTCCCATTTTACAGATGGAGAAACTGAGGTGTAGAGAGCCAGACTGGATCCATGGATTTTAGAATCAGAAAATTGAGGGTACAAAATTCCCTTGCCAGCTGTGTGCTCTCAGGCAGATTGCTTACCTTCTCTGTGCCTCAGTTTCTCCATCTGTATATTGGGGACAAGTTGCTATCACTTTAAAGCATTACTTAAGGCTTGAATGAGGCAATTCACACAAAAAATTTAGCACAGTGCTTGGTGCTTGGTGAGTACTCATCAAATGCTATTACTTACATTTCACTGTAGCCACTTCTCTCTTGTCCATCTTTCTTACCAGAATATGGGCTCCCTGAGGATAGGGACTGTGTCTGTCTTGTTCATTTCACAGTGTTCAATAAATTACTAGTATGTAAGACAGCCTTTGGTAGCTGCAAAGTGCAAAAACAATTAGATAGTATTTGTCTATCTATGTTCTGCCTTGCTCTAAAAAGGATTCAAGGAGACAAGAATTAATATTATTATCTCTGTTATTATCGCTGTTATATACAACTGTGATACTCAGAGGTGGTTCTTCCTCAAATGAATACAGAAAAAGTCTAGGTCAGGTGTGGTGGCTCATGCTTGTAATCTCAGCACTTTGCGAGACTGAGACGGGTGGGTCATTTAAGGCTAGGAGTTTGAGACCAGCCTGGGCAAGATGGCGAAGCCCCATCTCTACTAAAAATACAAAAATTAGCCAGACATGGTGGTGTGTGCCTGTAGTCCCAGCCACTGGGGAGGCTGAGGCACGAGAATCACTTGAACCTGGGAGATGATGGTTGCAGTGAGCTGAGATCTCACACTGCACTCCTCCAACCTGGGTGACAGAGCAAGACTGTTTCCAAAAAAAAAAAAAGAAAAGAAAAATAGTCAAGGAGCCTCAATTCATAGGTGGCCACTAAGAGGGGAGGCAGAGACCGGGCTTCTGGAGGAAACATCTAGATACCGCTGCAGAAACCTCTGGGCCAGCCAGGGAGCCACATACTGGGAGTCCCTGGAAGTACTCGATCTTGTAATTTGGGAGGCTCTGGACTTTCAGCAAGACCAGAGGGGCAGGAGTCTGCAGCCCACCTAAGGAATCTGCCTTTGAAGAGTGAGAGGGCATTTGGGGATCATCATTATCTCCACGGCACAGTGGTTTCCACTCTCTCCACTGGGAACTGAGGTTTCTTACACAAATAACTGTTAAAGTCCCAGATTCTCCAAATGAGTTACTTTAAATACGATCAACTAGAGCGGATTCAAAGTTATCCGTGAGGCACTGGGGCCCCATGCACCTGCATTCTTGAGTGGACAGTGACGGACCAGAGCTGTCTGGAGTTCACAGAGCCTCTCTCAACTGTGCCTTGAGCCCCTGAGGAGCGATGACTCTTGACTGTCCCTCACCTGTGGACATCACATTATAGCACAGTGCCCTGCCCACATTCCCAGAGGTGCCTGCCGAGGGCTTCCTGTGATTCTGCGCAGAGCCCATTCCTCTAGAAGTACCAAGACTCGATTGCCCCAGAGCTGCCCTCAAGCAAGGGACCTGGGAGTTGGCCAAGAAGGACTTCCATTGAGGACCTCCCCTCAATGGGACAGTCATCCACAGCAGTGGCTCAGGTCTCTACTTCCCTCTGTTTTCATGGCTTGTTCCCCTTGTGCCAAGTAAACTACTTGCACCCAACTCCTCATCCCAAGATCTGCACTTGGGGGAACCCAACCTAAGACATACTCCAAAATTAGGGGTGTTTTATTGTCCTGCAGGAATTTTTGACAGGTGTCTGAGTCTGTGGATAACCCTGGGAGGGCATCTATCATGTGAGCTGGGAGGGCACCTGGGGCTTGGTTGGGCAGGGTTGGGTACAGGGGCAGCAGTCAGCGGATGGTTCTGGTCAATAGAGGCTCACGATAAATTGAAAGCCTCACCTCAGTGTCTGGCAGGAGCAGGTGCAGATCCTGAACCGAGGACTCTGTGCTGAAGCAGAGAGGCACCTGATTTGTTTGGTAGTCGCCAATTAAGCACCTACTGTATGCTGAGGATAAAACAGGTGAATGAGATAGCAAGCGTCCTTGTCCCTGGGGAAGTCCGAGTCTGTGGGGGAAGAGAGTCACATCAATACGTGGATCAAGGTTAGAGATTAGTGAAGAAGAACTTCAGAGGACTCCAGTAAATTCATCCATTCACTGAAGGCATTTACTGAGTACTTACGGCATATAAGTCACCATGTTAGGCCTCGTGGACGAAAGAGATAGGCTATCATCACACTCTACTCCAATAAAAGGCAAGGTAACATCTGACATTTATTAAGCTCCTACTGTGTGCCAGGCATGGAGTAGGATGCTTTCCATAGTTTATCTCATTCCTTTTTGTTTGCTTGTTTTTGTTTTATTTTGTTTATTTATTTTGAGACAGAGTCAAACTCTGTCGCCCAGGCTGGAGTACAGTGGTGTGATCTCGGCTCACTGCAACCTCCATCTCCTAGGTTCAAGCAGTTATCAAGCCTCAGCCTCCCAAGTAGCTGGGTCAGCCTTGAGACAGGGTCTTACTCTGTTGCCCAGGCTGGAGTGCAGTCATAGCTCACTGCAGCCTCAATCTTCTGGGCTCAAGTGATCCTCTCACCTCAGCCTCCCAGCTGAGGCTACAGGCACACACCACCACGTCTGGCTAATTTTTGTATTTTTTGTAGCGATGGGGTTTCCCCATGTTGCCCAGGCTGGACTCTCATATCTTATCACAACAAATCTGTGATGGGGGTAGCTATTCTTATCCTCACACACAGAAGAGGCCCTGAAAGGTGATGCAGCTCACCAGACCACATGGCTGGGAAGTGGCAGAGCTTGGCTTCAACCTAGATCTCTCGGATTCCCAACCCCCCATACTATTTTTTCCCCTCGCATCAGACCAAGGTCTGTGGCTTTTGTCTTAAATACCCACTGAGTGAACCAGTTTTAAAAAGAACAAAACCTGGAAGCAAACCAGGCCAGGCTCAGATAGAGCTAGAACAAGCTTTTGCTGGAGTCAAGCTCCTGCTCTGAGGCCCTGCCTCTTCTACAGGGGGCCCAAGCCTGGTCTGTGACCCCTGTCTGTAGGGAATCCAGGACACCTGGAAGCTGACCTCATTTCACCCTGAAGAGCCAGGGAGGGAGGCTTGGGAGAGGCCCTGCTCCCTATGCCCAATGGGCCTCCGATGTGGACTGATACATGGTTCAGCAAAGCCCAAACCCTCCCCGCCATCTCCCCAAAGATAGTCAAGGCAGGGCCTGGCTGCTGATGGGAACATGTTTCTGTTATTATTATAGGGGAAAAAAATCAGCCTAAATCTTAGTGATCTGAGCTAATGATTTTGTTACATTCACAGACTCTGTGGGTCAAGAATTTAGACAAGGCACCATGGGGTCATGAGCCTAGTGTCTCACCTTGGAAGACTAAGTCGCTGGGGGCACCATGACAGCTGGCCGCTGGAATCATCTGAGTATCATCACCCACATGTCTGGAGGTTGACGCTGGCTGTCAGGTAGGACCTCAGCTGGGCTGTCAGCCAAAACAGCTACCTGTGTGATGTCTCTTCCTGTGGATTAGTTTGGGCTTCCTCCCAGCATGGTGGCTGAGTTCTAAGGGCCAGCTGGGTTCTAAGGGCTCTCTTCCTGAGAGAGCCAAGTACAAGTTGAATCTCTTTTATGACCTAACTTTGGAAATCACATAGCCTTGCATCACTTCTGCAAGAGTCACAAGTCCACCCAAATTAAAGACAGGGGACACAGACCTCACCTCCCAATGGGATAGCAAATGGAATTGGAGATACCGTTAAGGACATCTTTGGCCTTATAATTTACTACTGAAGACAGTAGGGAGGAATTGGCTGTCCAGCTGTGAATGGTTGCCTCAAGGGTGGAGGGGCACCTAGCATTGAATGGGGGCCAGTCCGAGGGGATGACAGGGTGAGCAGCTTAGATTGAAGTTGACTTCTGAGATCCAGGCAACAAGGCCAGAGATACCAAGGCAGAGCTTCAGTTGGATGCAGAGGAACAAACATTAATTTGTTTATTTACCTACTACCCCTCTATCAGTCTGGCCACCCTGCGTCCTATCTATCCATCCATCCACCCGTCCACCCATCCACGCACCTATCCATTAATCCTCCATCCGCCCACCCACCTATCCATTCATTCATCCACCTATTCATTCATCACCCATCTATCCATTTATCCATCCATCTATACTTTCATCCATCCATTTATTTTACCTACCTGTATATCTTATTCGCTTTACTATGACTCAGTTTCCTCATCTGTAAAATGGGGATTGTAATATAAACCTCATGGGGTTATTTGAGGATTCAATGAATTGATCAATATAAAGTCCCAGCACATACTAAGAACTCGATAAATAATATCTGTTTTTATTAATATTAGTATGATTCTTACTGTTATTCAAGCATGCGCCCACCTATAAATCTATCTTCCCATCCACTCTCCCATTCATGTTTTTTCTCAGCCATACAGTTAATCATATGCACATTTCATTTACATGAATTCAATGATACTCAGCAATAAAGAGAAACAGAAAACGAATTTTAAAAGCACAGTTGACTTTTTGCGCCATTTTGCACAATGGGTGTGTGCCCCAGAGGGAATATGAGGTGAGCCATGTTACTAATTGCAGGGTGAGAGCAAAACCATGTAGCTGCTTTGCTGGGGCAGTTTATTGGATTTTGCAGGGTAATTTTAACTGTTCATGGTTCATGCTGACTTTCCTACCTTTTGGCTGGGATGAGACCCACCACAGATACAATAGGATCTGGTCCTTGGCCTCAATATGCTCACAATGCATGGCACATTCAGTGTCACAGACACTAAACAGACTATGACCGTGTAGTGTAAAAAATTCAAGCTGGAGAAGCACTATGGGGCAAATGGCTGCTGTGGGGAGGGCAGAAAGAGCAGCAGGCAAGCCTTGGTGAGTGTGTGACATTTAAACAAAATCTTAAAGCATATGAGCATAAATTCTCAAGACACTCAAGAAGGAGAAGGGCATACCAGGCAGAGGGAACAGCACATTATGCAGAGAGAGGAAAGATCACAGGGTGTGGAGAGAATGGTGAGAGGGTGGGAGGACGGGAGGAGAGTCTGGAGGTGCCATCAGGGCCAATCTGAAAGGGCCTATGGTACCAGCCAGGGGAACGTGGACTTTATTCTACCGGTGGCGGGCACTACAGGGAGAGGGTTGGGCAGAGGAAAGGTAAGGGTCAGAGTTGTGTTTTCAATATATTGCTCCGGGTGCCGTGTGAACGATGAACAGGAAAAAAAGTCTGGAAGCACAGAGATTAGACAGGGAGTCTGAGCCCCACCTTGCTTCCAGTGAGTTCTGGAAGGGTGGGGCTGACACAGAGGAGGTTTTGGAGCAAACAGCCCCGAAGATAGTGAACCAAGGGCCCCATTATTGGGCAAATTTCCCACGTTGGGCTTGAGATTCCTCACAAGTGTTCTAAGTCAAAGCAGCAGATGGCTCCCCTCAGGGTCAGCTAGAGGCTTAGGTTCTGTACCCCATAAAGCCTGCCTGGGGCTGGAAAGGGCTCCTCACTGGATATACAGTGTCATTTTTATTGTTTTTTGTTTGTTTCTTTGCTTTTTTAGATGGGGTCTTGCTCTGTCACCGAGGCTGGAGTACAGTAACATGATCTCGGCTCACTGCAACCTCTGCCTCCAAGGTTCAAGCGAGTCTCCGACCTCAGTCTCCTGAGTAGCTAGGACTACAGGTACATACCACCACACCTGGCTAATTTTTGTATTTTTAGTAGAGACAAGGTTTCACCATGCTGGCCAGGCTGGTCTTGAACTCATGACCTCAAGTGATCCACCCACCTCAGCCTTCCAAAGTACTGGGATTACAGGTGTGAGCCACTGCGCCCAGCGTGGTGGTGTTTGTTTTTTAAATTTATCTCCCTTGGGGTTCATTTTGACTCCTGAATCTGAGAGATCATGTCTTTTATCAGTTCTGGAAAGTTATTTGAATGCTGCGTTTCCCCCATTCTCTCAATTATCTCTTCTTTTAAGTCTCTCAATTAACTCTAAGTAGAGGCCCTCAGACCTTCTTCATCTATCCTCTGTGTCTGCCTTAGTTTTCCCTCTCTTTCTTTCTGCTGTATTCTAGACAATTTCTTCAGATTCCAGGTCACATTTTTTTCTCTTGAACTGAGGTTAACAACCTGTTGTTTAACACTTCTGAGAGGTAAAAATTCTAATTATTATATAGGTTTTATTTCTGGAACTTTGGCTTGGTTCTTTTTCAAACCTGCCTGTTCTTTCTGTCATGTCCCTCACTCCCTATTCATTGTTTCCACTTCCTCTACTCTGTCTCTAAACACATTGAATATATTTACTGTATTTTACGTTTTGAATCCTGCAGTACCAATATCTGAAGTCTTTGGGGATCTGACTTCGTTGTTTGCTGTTTCTTCTGTCTTGCTCAGGGTGGCATGTCTCTTGGATGCTTTGAATTTTACTTTTATTTCCAGTTGAACCTGTAGGAATTTCACTGAGGATGGGGCTGAAGGTGTTTTCTTCCAGGGAGAGTATAAAACATTCAAATTGTATTGTTATTGAGGGAAACATTCAATAGCGTGCATTAATCTTAAATGTACATTTTACATAGATATACATTCCCATAATCATCATCTAGATCAAGATACAGAACATTCTCAGCACTCCAGAGAGTTTCCTCATGTCCCTTTCCAGTCTACCTGCACCCAGAGAGGGGAACCACCATTCTAACTCCTACCAAATCACTGATGAGTTGTGAAATGATATACAAATGAAACCGTATAGTACTTTTTTTCCCTTGTTTTCAAGACAGGGTCTTGCTCTGTCACCTAGGCTAGAGTACAGTGACAGAATCACAGTTCACTGCAGCCTCAAACTCCTGGGCTCAAGCAATCCTCCCACCTCAGCCTCCCAAGTAACTGGGACTACAGGTATGTGCCACCACACTGGCTAATTTTTAAAATTTTTTTTGTAGAGATGGGGTTTCCCTATGTTGCCCAGCTGGTCTCAAATTGCTGGCCTCAAGTGATCCTCTGGCCTCAGCTTCCAAGAGCGCTGGGATTACAGACATGAGCCATCTTACCTGACTGTAGTATTCTTTACCTTGATGTATATCTGTGAGATTCATTCATGTTATCCCATGTGGCAATACTGTCTTTAATTTCATTTCTTTATAGTATTCCTTTGTATGAATATATCACAATTCAGTTTTCCATTCTCCTTATGAGCTATCCAGGTTACATTTGGGTAATTTCTAGTTAGGAACTATGATGAATAAAGTTACCACGAGCATTTCTATATATTGCTTTTTGTGGGCATTGCATTTACTTTCATAGGGTACATTCCCCAGAGTGAAATTACTGGGTGATGGAATATATGGATATTTGACTTTAGTAGATCCTGCCAAAATTTTCCAGGGTAGTTGTGCCAATTTACTTTCCCACCAGCCACATATGATAATACTGATTACTCTACATCCTTCCCAGCACTTGACATTGACAGTTATTAACATTTGCCATTGTGGCGGGAGTGTAGTGGTATTTCACTGTGGTGTTAATTTTTGTTTTCCTGATGATTAATGATGTGGAATACCTTTCCATGTTTATTGGTTATTTTTACCTCTTTGATGTAGTGCAGTCTGTTGCCTCCTCTTTTTCTGAACTCAATTAAGTGGAATTCACTGGAAAGGTAAAGTGGCTTATATTCCAAGTTATATAACATCTCCATCACAGTGTAGGGCAGTGATGTGCTGGTAAACTGGTTCTCAGATTTTTTTTTTCTTTTTTTTTTTAGACAAGGTCTTACTCTATCACCCAGGCTGGAATACAGTGGCACAGTCTCAGCTCACTACAGCCTCAAGGTCCTGTGCTCAAGCAATCCTCCTGCCTCAGCCTCTCAAGGAACTGAGACTACAGGAATGTACCTGGCTAATTTTTGTATTTTTATAGACAGGGAGTTTCACCATGTTGCCCAGGCTGGTCTCAAACTCCTGGGCTCAAGTGATCCGCCCACCTCGGCCACCCAAAGTGCTAGGATTATAGATGTGACCCACCGTACCTAGCCAGATTGGCCAGATTTTTTTTTAGTAGCCTGATTTGTAGTATTTTCTGATTTCCATGATATACATTCTTCAACCATAGACAATTTCAAGCTACTGAATGGCTCGCAAAATTCCTGACTATTTAACACACGGCTCCCATGAGCCAGGATGGATTGGCTCCAGGATACCACTGCGTCTAGGGTAGCACCTCTAATAAAACTAATTGATATTTCTGCAGCAAACTGTAAATATTCACACCAATTGGCATAAAACATCTTCATATCCACTGAGGTCAGATTTTTGCCTGCAAATGAGGCAACCATGAATTAACTGTAAAAGAAGGACTTTCAGTTGAGAAAGATCTCTGGATTTTTCACCTCGCACATAAAAGATAGTAGGTCTGTTTCTGCATGAATTCCACCAACTACAGATTTGCTGATCCTGTTGGGATCCTTTGGGAAATCCCGTTGAACTTTGTGAATAGCAGTGAACAGTGATTTTGAGCTCAGTGATTTCCAAGGTCCCTTCTAGTTCTAGAAGTCTATGGCTAAAAATTTAAGAAATATTTCACTAACTGCCCATTTGGCTTTATTTCTATCTTAGTGCTACTGTGGGCTGGAGTCTTTTAAAACATGGTTTCTGTAGCCATGGAGTGCTGGTTTCTGGTAAACCCAGTGCTCACGTGGTCCTTCCCACAGAAGGTTCTGGAGTCAGGCTGCCTAGATTCAAATCTCAGCTCCACCACTGGCTTGCTCTTGGATTTGAGGCAAGTCACATGAAATCCCTCTGTGCATTTGTTTCCTCACTGCCCATGAAAGATGAGGTTTAAAACAAAGTAGAATTCCTGAGGGCCATCTCTGTGCTGCCTGCTGGGGACTTCCTTAGACATGGGACCCCAGATGGCACTGAGCCTCATGAGTCAGCTAGCGCTGGCCAGTGGAAGGGGGCAGTTTGCAGTGGCCAAAAGAGAATCTAACTCTGCAGGACTTAGCACCCTGGTGTTTCCCCATCTTCCCTGAGGCAGCTTCTTGGTCAGCAGTGCTCAGGCCCAAGGCCCAACTCTTCCTTAGGAAATCCTGTGCCTACCTGAGGAAACTTCACATCCAAGTCCTCCCCCAGCCCTGGCAAAACTTTGAAATCCATCACTGTGAGGTATCTCAGACCTGGTTTCTGAAGTCTTTTTCTTCCTGTGGGGCCTGTTGGGAGACCCTGATTTAGATCTCACTTTTCCGCTCCCTCTAGGGACAGTGGAAGCTGTGACCAAGCTCACACTTTGTGTCCTGGACCATCTGGGCTAAGGGAAGGCCACCTGCCAGAGGCAGGGCCAGTGGCCACTCTTGTGTCTATTTGTAAAATTGGGTTGTCTGTCTCGTTCCTGTAGATTTCTGGGAGCTTTTTGGTCTGGCTGTCAGCCATCAGTCAGATATCTGTATTGAAAACAATGACTCCTAGACTAAGGCTTGTCTTTTACCTCTTCTAAATGAAGGATTCAATATTGACGAAGTCTAATTTATTATTCTTTTCTTTTATCATTAGTGTTTCTTTGTTTGCTTTTCTGAGACAGGGTCTTGCTCTGTTGCTCAGGCTGAGTGCCATGGCATGATAACAGCTCACTGCAGCCTCAACCTCCCATACTCAAGTTATCCTCCCACCTCAGCCTCCCGAGTAGCTAGGACTACAGGTGCACACCACCATACTCAGTTAATTTTTGTAGAGATAGCATTTCACCATGTTGCCCAGGCTTGTCTTGAACTCCTGAGCTCAAGTGATCCTCCTGGCTCAGTATCCCGAAGTGCTAAGATTACAAATGTGAGCCACCATGCACAGCCAGTGTTTCTTACATCTTTTAGGAAATGAAGATATTTATCCATGTTTTCTTGTAGACTCTATATTGTTTTTGTTTTCACTTATAGATCTATGAAATTGATCTATCTTGAAATTAATCATATCTTCATTAATTTTTATGTATGATGCATAAGAGTCAAAATTCCTTTTTGTCATATGGACATCTAGTTTTGATGGCATTATTTATTGAAAAGACCATCTCTTCCCCCACTGAATTCCAGGGTACCTCACGAGCCAGGTGACAGGTATGAGTCCAGTTTTGAACTGTCTTCAGTACTTCTGATCTATTTATCTTTGCATGAATGCCACACTGTCTCAATTACTATAGCTTATTTTTATTTAACATTTTGGTCTTGAGAGAATTGTCGATTTGCATACAATTGTAGGAAAGAATACAGAGAGATCCCACATTCCCTTTACCTGGTTTCTCCCAATGGTAACATCTTGCAAAACTGTAGTATAATATGACATCTAGATCGCTGATATTCATACAACCCTCTGGTCTAATTCAGATTCCCCTAGTTTTACCTGTATTCATTTATGCATGAGTGTGTATATGTTTAGTGCTGTACAATTTTATCACCTGTGTAGGTTTGTGTATCCACACACAGTGGAGCTTCAGAACATTTTCATCACCACCAGAATCCTGTGTTTCCCTTTTTTTAGCCATACTGCCACCTCCCACATTCTCTCTCCACCCCACCCCTAAACCCAGCTCCTGACAATCACTAATCTGTTCTCCACTTCTGTGTTTTTATCCAGAAATGTTATATAAATGGAATCACACAGTGTGTAACCTTTTGGGATTGGCTTCTTTCACTCAGCGTAAAT